AGCAGCCCAGTTGGTGGCAGAGGATTTTTACCACTGCTCCAAGGGGAGAGTACGCGGTGGATGAAAAGCAGCAGAATGTGAAGGAGAACGAATTCCTCATCATGAGGTGGAATCTCTTGTTCTTGGTGTTCGACTTTATCATCATTCCCCTTCCACTCTGGATCGACATCTTTTGCCCCATTTTTGCCGCCATCTATGGCCTATTCGTAGGATGGCTGGGAGCATTCCTGTTGACAGTTTGTGCTTGGCGTTCGCTCCAGGCCAACTTTCTCATGAAGAAGGTGGTGGATGAAACTTGGGAGGACAAGATCCCCAGAAACACAGCGGAGGAGAGGCGTTTGGCAGACAGCCTGCAACATCTGGTGATGATGTGCGGCTACAAGGAGCCCATGGAAGTGATCTGTCAATCCATCGATTCACTTGCAGCCCAGACCGTGGCTCATAGGCTCATTGTGGTGATTGGCTTGGAGGAAGGAACGCCTGACGTGGCTGAGAAAGCTGCGAGGTTGAAGGAACGTTATGCCCGATCCTTCAAGCGTTTCCACGTGACCAAGCATCCCAAGCAGTGGGCTGGAGGTCGTGAGATCCGAGGCAAATGCTCCAATGCCAACTACACCATGCGTGCGGCAGTCACGCGCTTGGAGGAGTACGGTGACTTGGATCTCAGTTGCACCACAGCCACTAGTTGTGACACGGACTCCATCTTTGCACCACGCTACTTTGAGAACCTGGGCTACCAATTCCTTACCTCACCGAAAGCCAAAGAGGTGGTGTGGCAAGCACCGCTCTACTACAACCACTTCCTGAATGAGCGGCCCTTCTATGTTCGAGCTATTGGTATCATGCGTGCTGCTTACATGCTTGGATTCTTGATCCCTTTCAACATCAACACCATGTCCATCTTCAGCTTTTCTCTCGATCTTTGCATCAAGGGTGAGTTCTTCCATGCACACTATCAGATGGATGACATCATCTACACTCTGACCTGCATGCAAGCCCTGCAGAAGCGAGTTGAAATTCTCATGATTCCGATGCCTGTGATCTCTGGGCCAACCTCAGGCACAACCCAATGGGAGGAGTTCAGTGAATGGTTCCGACAGAGTGAACGTTGGACAATTGGTGCTTGCGAGGTCTTCCACTACTTCGTGGTGAAGCGAAGGCGTTACAATTGCACTGCAGCTTTGTCTTACGGCACTTGGTTTGTGATCTACTATGGTTTCATTCTGTGCTCCCTCACGCTGACTGGACTTGCAGGCTTCATCAACTACGCCTTGATCAATGCCAAACACGACACCATTGATCGCATGGGCCAAACAACTGGCCAGCTGCCTTTGGATGATGCAGCCAACACTGGCGTGATGATCGCAGGCTTCTCCAGCCTCGCTTGGACCTACCTAGTCTTCTTGATTTTCTTCTACCTCGACCGTGAAGGTTGCAAACTCATTTACCACCTGAAGATGAAGCCGCAGGGTGCTGAGGATACCAGCTTTTGCCAGAACCTGAAAGACTGGATTTTGATGTGGCCCAGTTTGGTCATGTATTCTATGGTCAGCTACTGGGCGATCTTGAAAGTGGCTGTCTATGGCAAGAAGGTGTGCGGCCATGATCCTTCCAGCAAGGAAGGCCTTAAAGCTGGGCAAGCCATGACATCCGAGGAGTCTGCTGAAGCCTCAACGGCCATTGACAGTGCGGACATTTCTGAGGCTGGGCATGCCTGAAAGCCCTGAAAGAGAGAGATGCCTCTCTTACTGCACAGAGGAAATTCTTCAAGACCTCTTCAAGAAGAGGAATGAAGAGGCTTTCTAATTTTTCCACTCTTGTTCGCTGGGCTGATCCAGATGCCCTGTGGGTTGTTTGACATTGATACGGCTGCCAAAGGGTGTGCCCTTCCAATTAATTACAGTATATAAGTGTCCCGTGCGACACCACCAGTGTGTCTAAGCTCACCTCACATGTGTATAGCCTGGGGATGGGTGGCACGGATTCCAAAATGCAATGCATTGATTCAAAAAAACATGGTTCCTGCTTCCGACTTGCACTATTCTCTACCAATCAAAATTCAAAGCTTTGTCTTGATTATGATGACCGGGCATGCCTTTGCAAGAGCCGTTGGTCGCGAGAAACCCTCCAAGTTCGGCAGTCGGGCTCACCTGATCTCACCTGCTTGACCAGGCTGTGCCGTGACAGCTCGACATTGGCAGAACAAAAAGCACTTCCTTGGGCAATTTCAACCCGAAAGATCCCGAATGTGAGCTACACACATCTTCGCTCATTCGTCGAGCTGAGCTTCTGTGTTGGCAAGGTGTGCCTACATGTAGTCTGTGCGAAGTAAATGTATCCGATGATTATAATATATGACTGTATCATGTTGTATCAGATGGTATCAATATGTTTTTATTGTGCCGCATTCAATTGGGAGCTTGGTTTTCCGGAAGGGACTCACTTTTTTGATTCATCGAATTCAGACTCCTGCCCTCAGTCTGTTGGAGCAACAGTCTGGTCACCAAAAAAATCAGCTGCGAAGAAGCAAAGATTTTGCCTGACCGGATATATAGAGTTACCCAAAATGATTGCTGCACTTGCCCAAGCCCCAGCTGGCACGTGCATCGGGTCTTCCACAATATAGTCATGGCTCCACGCGTGGTGGGCTTGGCTGCGGCCGTGCTGGGCGTCGCAGCCGTGACCTTCGTGGCCCCCAGCACTTCCGGTGCACGCCGCCTCCGCACTCCAGTGGCACAGCCTGCTGCGAGCTTCGGAACATCAGCAGAGAGCAACAGCCTTTATGGCATTTGCTCCGCTGTGGGCGGTGTTGCTTTGCTGGCAGCCGGAGCTGCTGTGATCAGACGTGCGGAGAGCAAGGAGCTCACTATTGAGGCCATTCCTCGCCCAGAGGACCTTCTTGATTCTCCCAAGTTCCCAATGTTTGAGGGCGGCACTGGTGGCTACATGTCGAGGTCCACCCGCGAGCGTCATGCCATCACATGGACTTCCAAGGAGCAGATCAAGTTTGAGATGCCAACTGGAGGTTATGCCATCATGAACAAGGGTGAGAACTTGTGCTACTTCAGGAAGAAGGAGCAGTGCATTGCTTTGGGCAAGCAGCTGCGAAAGATGAAGATTGAGAACTACAAGATCTACCGCTTGAAGAAGGATGGCACTGTGATCTTCATGCATCCAGCCGATGGTGTGTTCCCAGAGAAGGTGAACAAGGGTCGTGTGCAGGTGAACGGCCGACCTTTCACCATCAGGAGCAACCCTCAGCAGTCTGAGCTGAAGTGGACGAAGTATCACATGAAGTCCTACGCAGCTAGGCTGAAGTAAGGAGATCCTAGCGCATTCCTCTGTCGTTTCTTCATGATTTTCAAGAGCACTTAAGGATACTTAAGACTTAAGGTTCTTGTCAGTATAAGCATGATGGCACATCATGGCATTGTGCAGTGAAATGTATGCAAACGGGTGGCAGAACCCTTAGCATTGATTCATGTTAGCTGCCCAAAGTTTCTCAGGAAGCAGATCCATTGACTACTCTCTTCATCAAGGCCCGCTGCATGGCCTTCGTGGATGTCCCCAACCTCTTCGCGCTGCCACAGCCAAACATGGACGAGCTGGTGCCAGTGGAGGAGGTGGACAAGTACACCAAGCAGGAGTACACCACGAGGCTTATGGAGGCTGGTCAGTGTGATGTGACTTTGTGTTTGATCATCGACTTTTGCAAACATTTCATTCTTTAAGGCCCGTGATCGTTTGCGCAGAAGGTGTTTTTTGTGGCTTGCCAGCGGACATGCCGCTGGGAGATTTGAGAGAATGTCTGTGACTGGTAACCTGAGTGTGGCAGCTCTAGCTTCCATCTTTCCAGGCCTTGAAGAGGGTCCAGGACGACCGAAAGGAAAAGGAGGCCAAGAGCCTTTGAGTGACGCAGACCCGTCTTTCAGACTTATGAAAGCAAGACCAATAAGGACCAGCAGCAGAGAGCTATATCAAACAAGATCAATTAAGAACCCTTTCGCAGATGGAAAATCATGTCAATATGAAAGATACCCTCAAGTTGACCATCGAGGGCAAACCATTTTTTTCAGCATTGCGGCTGTACATATAATATGTAATATATATATATTATAGATATATAGATATTATAGATTTACATAGCATAGTATGTATTGGATCTAAAGCCATTATATACTCATAATATCATAGCCTCCTTGGCCTTGGCCGGCACTCGACAATGGTATTGCCTTTGCAGCTTTTTGAAGCCGGTAAAAAAGGCTGCGGGAGAAGAAACCTCTTTTCGCATTTCCAGTTGTCCAGTTCTCCATAAATTCTTGCGAGGCCCTTGCCAAATCAAGACTTGAGAAGGCTCCAAAGCAATCAGGCAATGCACAAGTAGATTTCAATATACTGCATTCCCTTGGCATTGGGTTGTTTTGGTCCAAGCCCCAGGCCCCAGCTGGCACGTGCATCGGGTCTTCCACAATATAGTCATGGCTCCACGCGTGGTGGGCTTGGCTGCGGCCGTGCTGGGCGTTGCAGCCGTGACCTTCGTGGCCCCCAGCACTTCTGGTGCACGCCGCCTCCGCACTCCAGTGGCACAGCCTGCTGCGAGCTTCGGAACATCAGCAGAGAGCAACAGCCTTTATGGCATTTGCTCCGCTGTGGGCGGTGTTGCTTTGCTGGCAGCCGGAGCTGCTGTGATCAGACGTGCGGAGAGCAAGGAGCTCACTATTGAGGCCATTCCTCGCCCAGAGGACCTTCTTGATTCTCCCAAGTTCCCAATGTTTGAGGGCGGCACTGGTGGCTACATGTCGAGGTCCACCCGCGAGCGTCATGCCATCACATGGACTTCCAAGGAGCAGATCAAGTTTGAGATGCCAACTGGAGGTTATGCCATCATGAACAAGGGTGAGAACTTGTGCTACTTCAGGAAGAAGGAGCAGTGCATTGCTTTGGGCAAGCAGCTGCGAAAGATGAAGATTGAGAACTACAAGATCTACCGCTTGAAGAAGGATGGCACTGTGATCTTCATGCATCCAGCCGATGGTGTGTTCCCAGAGAAGGTGAACAAGGGTCGTGTGCAGGTGAACGGCCGACCTTTCACCATCAGGAGCAACCCTCAGCAGTCTGAGCTGAAGTGGACGAAGTATCACATGAAGTCCTACGCAGCTAGGCTGAAGTAAGGAGATCCTAGCGCATTCCTCTGTCGTTTCTTCATGATTTTCAAGAGCACTTAAGGATACTTAAGACTTAAGGTTCTTGTCAGTATAAGCATGATGGCACATCATGGCATTGTGCAGTGAAATGTATGCAAACGGGTGGCAGAACCCTTAGCATTGATTCATGTTAGCTGCCCAAAGTTTCTCAGGAAGCAGATCCATTGACTACTCTCTTCATCAAGGCCCGCTGCATGGCCTTCGTGGATGTCCCCAACCTCTTCGCGCTGCCACAGCCAAACATGGACGAGCTGGTGCCAGTGGAGGAGGTGGACAAGTACACCAAGCAGGAGTACACCACGAGGCTTATGGAGGCCACTTGGCATTTACAGAAGCTGCTGTGACTAACCCTAGATTCCCTAGATATATTCAGGGATGGGTCGGCAGTTTGTCAATGCTGACGTACCGTGACATTGTTGCAACTGCAAAAGCGGAAGGATACCAATCAGCAAGTAAGGATCGTTGCTACCCTAAGTCTCAGGACATGTTGTATGCTTTAAAAATCTTTAAAAACTTAGTTCATCTTGTACTTTGCTGCATTTTACCGCTAGGTATCTTGACCCTGTGTGTTTTCCATTTAGCCCATGGATCTCCGACGATCTCCGACAACTCGCAGGCTTTGAAGAGGGTCCAAGACGACCGAAAGGAGAAAGAGGCCAAGAGCCTCTAGGGTTAGATGAGGGCTGAGTCCGTAGCCATGGTGTAAAGCAGCCAAAGAAACACGTTGAATCCAATAAACAGTAAGGCGAGTTGGGAATCTCATGAAACATCATGAAACCAATGTTGAAATAGAACAGAAAAGAAACAAACAAACGAAAATTGGACCTTTCAACCGAAGAATGCAGATTGAATGTCTCTTGCTGAGAAATCCCACTGGTCGTCCTCATAGCTACGACCTTCGACTTTTTGAGAGGGAGTCAAAAAGAGGAAAGCGGCACAAAGCGCACTTTATTTCTCAAAACAAAGTTGGCTTTGAAAACTATAAATCCAAGTTGGTAAAATCCCAAGCACAAATGAACATCTCAATCGCGACGTGTAACAATGACCTCAAGTATGCTTCTCCTAGTGGCTTTCTGACAGTATGACGAGTGAAATTGACGCAGTTCCTCTGCAAACCTCTCAATGCTTGTCCAGTAGCTTGTAAACCTGTTCGAATGTCGGAAACATGTTTCTCTTTTTTTCATCAAAGTTTTTGTGTTGGAGTAACGATTCTGAAGCTGTTGCTGTCATGATTTGATACCTGCTACATGGTATGCTTTCCTCAAGCGGGACCTAGCAGACTCACCTGGATTCTGCATTGATCATGGCTCCACGCGTGGTGGGCTTGGCTGCGGCCGTGCTGGGCGTCGCAGCCGTGACCTTCGTGGCCCCCAGCACTTCCGGTGCACGCCGCCTCCGCACTCCAGTGGCACAGCCTGCTGCAAGCTTCGGAACATCAGCAGAGAGCAACAGCCTTTATGGCATTTGCTCCGCTGTGGGCGGTGTTGCTTTGCTGGCAGCCGGAGCTGCTGTGATCAGACGTGCGGAGAGCAAGGAGCTCACTGTTGAGGCCATTCCTCGCCCAGAGGACCTTCTTGATTCTCCCAAGTTCCCAATGTTTGAGGGCGGCACTGGTGGCTACATGTCGAGGTCCACCCGCGAGCGTCATGCCATCACATGGACTTCCAAGGAGCAGATCAAGTTTGAGATGCCAACTGGAGGTTATGCCATCATGAACAAGGGTGAGAACTTGTGCTACTTCAGGAAGAAGGAGCAGTGCATTGCTTTGGGCAAGCAGCTGCGAAAGATGAAGATTGAGAACTACAAGATCTACCGCTTGAAGAAGGATGGCACTGTGATCTTCATGCATCCAGCCGATGGTGTGTTCCCAGAGAAGGTGAACAAGGGTCGTGTGCAGGTGAACGGCCGACCTTTCACCATCAGGAGCAACCCTCAGCAGTCTGAGCTGAAGTGGACGAAGTATCACATGAAGTCCTACGCAGCTAGGCTGAAGTAAGGAGATCCTAGCGCATTCCTCTGTCGTTTCTTCATGATTTTCAAGAGCACTTAAGGATACTTAAGACTTTAGGTTCTTGTCAGTACAAGCATGATGGCACATCATGGCATTGTGCAGTGAAATGTATGCAAACGGGTGGCAGAACCCTTAGCATTAGCATTGATTCATGTCAACTGCCCAAAGTTTCTCAGGAAGCAGATCCATTGACTACTCTCTTCATCAAGGCCCGCTGCATGGCCTTCGTGGATGTCCCCAACCTCTTCGCGCTGCCACAGCCAAACATGGACGAGCTGGTGCCAGTGGAGGAGGTGGACAAGTACACCAAGCAGGAGTACACCACAAGGCTTATGGAGGCCAGCCAAATCTTGACAATATTTCTTGGCAGCTGAAGGTTTAGTTTGCGTACATGTTCGTGATATTTCTTTGAATGTCCACAGTACATTTCAACATTCTGAACATGTGCATTTGATTGTATTCAATTGCATTTGTACTTGTACTGGCTAAACTGGCTAGATTGCTGTCTTTCCTCCTTCTTTCTCTTTTATCTAGCAGTCGATCGTGCTTGATATTTCATCACTCTTTCGGTTCGAGGGTGGGCTGGGGCTGATATGATGTGAGGCCTTGAAGAGGGTCCAGGATGACCGAAAGGAAAAGGAGGCCAAGAGCCTCTAATGAGTGAGGCTGTGGTTTTTGCGGTTCCAGCATTCAACAAAAAAGGAACGTCTAGATCCTGACGAGCACCTGTGGAAGTGCAGCTTTTTTAGAGGCTGGAGCAAAATGGAGCTGTTCAAAGGGAATGGCAAGGGGTGGTGGAATGACTTGCAAGACAACCAATCAACTCTGCTTCCAATGTGGGGAACAAGTTTTCAAGGAGACTCTGTATTTAGTCTGAAGCAAAGTGCACAAAGAAAGCTCAAGATTTCTTTTTCTGATGAGACCTGTCAAATAGACCAACTGACAAAGGTGTCGGACAACCGCTCTGTTCAAGGTTTTGTGGATGGATACTGTACCAACAAGGCGAATTGCAAAAGCCAAATCAGGTGGACATTTTTGGCCAGCCCAGCCTTGAAGTTTGCTTGAAGGAAGAACATGACGCGTCTTACTTTTCGACAATGACAAGTGTCAAATTAATCTGTTGCCAACAACCTTTGCCAATTGCGGTAAATCTGTTTAGTTTGACAAACATATTTGTGTTGGTCCAAGCCCCAGCTGGCACGTGCATCGGGTCTTCCACAATATAGTCATGGCTCCACGCGTGGTGGGCTTGGCTGCGGCCGTGCTGGGCGTCGCAGCCGTGACCTTCGTGGCCCCCAGCACTTCCGGTGCACGCCGCCTCCGCACTCCAGTGGCACAGCCTGCTGCGAGCTTCGGAACATCAGCAGAGAGCAACAGCCTTTATGGCATTTGCTCCGCTGTGGGCGGTGTTGCTTTGCTGGCAGCCGGAGCTGCTGTGATCAGACGTGCGGAGAGCAAGGAGCTCACTATTGAGGCCATTCCTCGCCCAGAGGACCTTCTTGATTCTCCCAAGTTCCCAATGTTTGAGGGCGGCACTGGTGGCTACATGTCGAGGTCCACCCGCGAGCGTCATGCCATCACATGGACTTCCAAGGAGCAGATCAAGTTTGAGATGCCAACTGGAGGTTATGCCATCATGAACAAGGGTGAGAACTTGTGCTACTTCAGGAAGAAGGAGCAGTGCATTGCTTTGGGCAAGCAGCTGCGAAAGATGAAGATTGAGAACTACAAGATCTACCGCTTGAAGAAGGATGGCACTGTGATCTTCATGCATCCAGCCGATGGTGTGTTCCCAGAGAAGGTGAACAAGGGTCGTGTGCAGGTGAACGGCCGACCTTTCACCATCAGGAGCAACCCTCAGCAGTCTGAGCTGAAGTGGACGAAGTATCACATGAAGTCCTACGCAGCTAGGCTGAAGTAAGGAGATCCTAGCGCATTCCTCTGTCGTTTCTTCATGATTTTCAAGAGCACTTAAGGATACTTAAGAATTTAGGTTCTTGTCAGTACAAGCATGATGGCACATCATGGCATTGTGCAGTGAAATGTATGCAAACGGGTGGCAGAACCCTTAGCATTAGCATTGATTCATGTCAACTGCCCAAAGTTTCTCAGGAAGCAGATCCATTGACTACTCTCTTCATCAAGGCCCGCTGCATGGCCTTCGTAGATGTCCCCAACCTCTTCGCGCTGCCACAGCCAAACATGGACGAGCTGGTGCCAGTGGAGGAGGTGGACAAGTACACCAAGCAGGAGTACACCACAAGGCTTATGGAGGCCAGCCAAATCTTGACAATATTTCTTGGCAGCTGAAGGTTTAGTTTGCGTACATGTTCGTGATATTTCTTTGAATGTCCACAGTACATTTCAACATTCTGAACATGTGCATTTGATTGTATTCAATTGCATTTGTACTTGTACTGGCTAAACTGGCTAGATTGCTGTCTTTCCTCCTTCTTTCTCTTTTATCTAGCAGTCGATCGTGCTTGATATTTCATCACTCTTTCGGTTCGAGGGTGGGCTGGGGCTGATATGATGTGAGGCCTTGAAGAGGGTCCAGGATGACCGAAAGGAAAAGGAGGCCAAGAGCCTCTAATGAGTGAGGCTGTGGTTTTTGCGGTTCCAGCATTCAACAAAAAAGGAACGTCTAGATCCTGACGAGCACCTGTGGAAGTGCAGCTTTTTTAGAGGCTGGAGCAAAATGGAGCTGTTCAAAGGGAATGGCAAGGGGTGGTGGAATGACTTGCAAGACAACCAATCAACTCTGCTTCCAATGTGGGGAACAAGTTTTCAAGGAGACTCTGTATTTAGTCTGAAGCAAAGTGCACAAAGAAAGCTCAAGATTTCTTTTTCTGATGAGACCTGTCAAATAGACCAACTGACAAAGGTGTCGGACAACCGTTCTGTTCAAGGTTTTGTGGATGGATACTGTACCAACAAGGCGAATTGCAAAAGCCAAATCAGGTGGACATTTTTGGCCAGCCCAGCCTTGAAGTTTGCTTGAAGGAAGAACATGACGCGTCTTACTTTTCGACAATGACACGTGTCAAATTAATCTGTTGCCAACAACCTTTGCCAATTGCGGTAAATCTGTTTAGTTTGACAAACATATTTGTGTTGGTCCAAGCCCCAGCTGGCACGTGCATCGGGTCTTCCACAATATAGTCATGGCTCCACGCGTGGTGGGCTTGGCTGCGGCCGTGCTGGGCGTCGCAGCCGTGACCTTCGTGGCCCCCAGCACTTCCGGTGCACGCCGCCTCCGCACTCCAGTGGCACAGCCTGCTGCAAGCTTCGGAACATCAGCAGAGAGCAACAGCCTTTATGGCATTTGCTCCGCTGTGGGCGGTGTTGCTTTGCTGGCAGCCGGAGCTGCTGTGATCAGACGTGCGGAGAGCAAGGAGCTCACTGTTGAGGCCATTCCTCGCCCAGAGGACCTTCTTGATTCTCCCAAGTTCCCAATGTTTGAGGGCGGCACTGGTGGCTACATGTCGAGGTCCACCCGCGAGCGTCATGCCATCACATGGACTTCCAAGGAGCAGATCAAGTTTGAGATGCCAACTGGAGGTTATGCCATCATGAACAAGGGTGAGAACTTGTGCTACTTCAGGAAGAAGGAGCAGTGCATTGCTTTGGGCAAGCAGCTGCGAAAGATGAAGATTGAGAACTACAAGATCTACCGCTTGAAGAAGGATGGCACTGTGATCTTCATGCATCCAGCCGATGGTGTGTTCCCAGAGAAGG